ATGGCAAAATTATATTTAATATTCCTGATTTATCACAAGTCTACTGGATTTACGACGAAACAATCGCATCCAACGAGTACACTGCTCTCTACCTTCATAGCCATTTCCATTCTAGTGTCTTCGGTAAATATATATCATTTCCACTATAATAAGCAAAAGCTGTATGACCTGATCAAGAAGGCATTGCGAATATCAAAATTAGAACTTGAAGATGGATCTGATAAGAAATATTTTCGAAAAAGGATCATCTTTCTATGGATCAACTTTCTCTTGTACAATTTGTCATATTTGATGTTTTGCATGAAAAAACATAGCGACTTTTATCAATTTTGGAATATTCAGACCATGTTTTCGTATAAAATTTCAGAAAATGTTTCTTCCTTCGTTTCTTATTTCATGTATGTAGGTTATCCTACATTATTTTTGATGCCTAACAATTTTCTCTTCGTTTTCTTTGCACTGATTTGCAGAGAACTTGAAAATGGATTCAAAGTTTTACATTACAAAATTCAGAATTGTCAAAATGTGCAGAAAGAAATTTCATCTGTTTCCGAAATTTACGTGGAATCAATTAGCGTAATAATTGCAATGCAAAAGATATATTTAGCGATTTTGTTTATTTGGACCATTTTCGTTGTAGGTAATATTACTTTAAGAGTCAGTCGTTTTAGTATTCTTTTAGACGATTCCTTCGAATTCATGTTCATGTTTCTACCATTTTTCTGTTTCCCATTCTTGTACTTTGTCCACGTTTGCCTTTCCTCTTCACGTATGACATCAGCTGCCAAAATCTTGGCCGTTGAAACTTATCGACTTTCAACTCATGGCAGAATTACGACTCAAGAATGTGCGTTTAGATTTATGCTCAGTTGCATGCAAGATATTCCTTGTTTCTCTGCATGTGGGGTATTTGCTATTAACGGGAATCTTCTCATGACTATTGCCAGTGTAGCCATCTCTTATTCTATAATGATGTTTCAATTTCTTAGCAATTCTCCTAGCAATTAGATTTATTCTACTTTATCTAACGACTTTTACACAAAATTAACATTAAAAAATACTCTTTGATTTGTCCTTATAAAAATATATGTTGATTGAAACAGTTGTAATTGTGATTTTAACGGATTTGATTGATGGAATAAACAATGCAACGCAAAGCAATCTGCCAATGGAAACACGCCTTTCTCGAGAATATAATGGGAAACTGACCCATTTAGGTTTCTTTTCCTCTTTGAAATCTTAATGCCTTTGGGCACTGAGAACCATTTTTTGACAAACCAGTTCGGCGAGATCAACAGTGCGGCGGCCGGGTGATGAGGAATGGACACAATATATCCGAACGGACTACCCCGAAAAATTCCTATAGTTTTTCGATAAGTCAGGATTCGATCTTGGATCCCGGAGCGGTAGGGTTCATAAAAAAATAGAAAAATAATAAAATGAATAAATAATTATAGTGTTAGATCTGGCAATAACTGTAGATGATTTTGCGAATGCTCACAATGGACTGCTCCGTAAACTGTAAGAAAAGTTTGTTCCTTTACGGATACGGATAAGCCCTTACGGTAGTTTATAACTATTGCTATAGATATTCAGTGTAGCAAACATTTACGAATATGGATACGGTTACGTTACGGAGTTTATAACTCCACCCTTACGACCCGGAACAACCTACCTCCTGTTCTGGCATTCTATATCTGACTTCGCCTGTAATACATATAACGTTTGCCACTAAGTACCAATTTCAAAGACACACAAACGGCGGCGTTAAATCTACGTATGACTGTATAATACAATTTTTAACGCGTCATTGATCATCGGTATGCCGTAAAGCTTAGTTCACACTGGGCGCGATTCGCTAGCGAAAGCGAAAAACAGAGCGAATAACCGGTGAAATATGACTCGTTTGACGGGTTATTCGTTCTGTTTTTCGCTTTCGCCAGCGAATCGCGCTCAGTGTGAACTAAGCTTAAGCTTTAAACTCATCCAACGTTTGCAGAGACAACGTTTAGAGGCCGACGGCGGTTTACAGATCGAGTAACCGCTGTTCAGAAAAATTTCATTGCAGAGATGACGTTTTTCGCTTGTCACAAAGTAGACAGTGATTAGAAACAAGTTATTTGACCTAATTTATAGACTCACTCGACAGTAGGTTTAGAGAACTTTTTTAATTCGAGTGGTAGCTTTGTTCGTGGAAAAGTTTAGATAAAAATGGATATCGTTCCTTTGATAAATGTTGTAAACGGTGCGAATCGACAAAATTATTCATTAATTAATTGCTTGAAGCAAAAATAACAAAATTAAATACTTTAAATTTGTTTTAAATGTCACAATTCCGATATTCAAATGGGTTAACACTAAAAATACAATTAATTTAAATCAGATGAATTTATTTACAATTCGAGTATCGTGTCGGTTATAAAACGTTAATGCATTTCGGAGTCATCGTAAGTTAATCCCCTAGTCAGAATGTTCTGTTAAACAAACGAGACAATTTTAATAATATTCCCGAAATCTTTTTACAGAAATAAAAAAATATAATAGCTTTGCAATGCATTTTAAACCGCAGTTCAGCCAGCCAACGTCTGTAAGCTGTTCTGTTGATAAACGTCGTTTAACGTAAACTAT